ATTTATTGCCACTAACTGGAAGGCTTTCCATGCCGTCTTTTCCTTGCCACGCAGTGCATGGTCAAATGCATCATCTCGAAGAAGTTCACGAATCTGAGGACCAACAAAGACACCTTCCTTTATCTTAGCTTCACTTAACCTTGGAAATTTACTATGGAGGTACTTGAAAGCTGCTTGTGTTTTGTCAATGGCCTTGACAAAGTTCTTCATCAGACCCAGCTTGATGTGTAAGGGTGGTAACAAAATCTTCCTTGATTCAACAAGTGGTGGATGCTAAACACTTTTCCTCCCAGGCTCCAATGACTGTCGGAGTGGCCAATCTTTCTTGATGTAGTGGGAATCTCTTGCACGACTATCCCATTCGCAGAGAAAACAGCAGTACTTTGTGTATCCAGTCTGCAGACCAAGCAAGAGAGCAACAACCTTCAAATCGCCACAAAGCTGCCACTGATGTTGGTCATAGTTTATGCACCTCAAAAGTTGTTTCATGTTGTCATAGTTTTCCTTCATATGGACTGCATGACCAACTGGAATTGATGGCAAAACATTGCCATTATGCAGTAAAACAGCTTTAAGACTCGTCTTCGATGAATCAATGAACAGTCTCCACTCATCTGGATCGTGAACGATGTTGAGGGATGCTATCACACCATCGATGTTGTTGCAGGCTACAAGATCACCTTCCATGAAGAAGAATGGGACAAGATCCTTTTGACGGTCACGGAACATGGAAACCCTAACATCACCTGCCAGGAGATTCCACTGCTGTAGTCTGGAGCCCAACAACTCTGCCTTACTCTTGGGTCGTTCCAAATCCCTGACAAGGTCATTCAGTTCACCTTGTGTTATGAGGTGTGGTTCAGAGGAGGAGGATGGGAGAAAATGTGGGTCCTGTGACATTGATGGTTCAGGACCAGAAGTTTCATCCTCTTCCTCTTCCTCGTCTGACTCAAGTGAGAATGATTCTGGTGCATCAGGAACCGTCAGTCCTTCTCCGTGGGGTACTGGGCGTACAGCTGATGGAATGTTTGGATAATGCACAGTCCACTTTTTCTTCTTTGACACACCTTTCCCAACTGGAGGCACCATGCAGAAGTAACAATTGCTGGTATGATCTGTTGGCTCTCTCCAAATCATTGGCACTGCAAAAGGCATAGATTTCCTTTTCCTGTTCAACCACTGGCGAAGATTTGTTGCACAAGTGTTGCAGCATATGTGTGGGGCCCACCTCTTGTCCTGATCTCCAATTTTCCAGCCAAAATAAAGGTGATAGGCTTTCTTAACCATAGTGGTTATACTGCGCTTTTGTGATGCAAAAGTCACTTCACCACAAACAGAGCAGAAGTTATCTGCACTGTTCACACAAGTACGAGGCAGCTCTGCTCACTTTGGCTAAACAGAAATGTGTCCCTTTGCAAAATCAAACACTGACAAATAAGAGAGCACGACACTGTATGATTTCTAGAGCTGATATAGGGCAATTTGTTCAGCAGAGTGATGTAAGCTTCGTTATGATTGCATCATCCATGACTTCTAGCAATAACATGATGCAATTCATATCATGTATGACGCAATACCAGCTTCAGATTGCATCATTCATTGTTTTGCCTAAAAAGCAAGTACTGTCCAAACCCAGTCATAGATTTATTCATAGATCCAGTCAAAGATGTATTTTAGTCATTTCTGGTTTAAATTGAGATCCCTTCCCTTTATAACTCACTTATCCTCCGCCATTCCCAAGTCAAGGGTCGTATATACTGACCCAATAGCATATCTTGAAAACTAGAGCCAATCAACAATTTTAAGCATCATTTTCGTTCTCAGTGACCCAGAATTAGTAAAGTTTGACTACATTTATTTCAGAAGCATTTTGGCTGTAGAGCAGTGTTATTTGACCACCCTGTGCCTCAGTTTACCTAGCAGAAAAGCTGACTAAAAAGCAGAAACTTGCTGAAAACCACATGCTGGGATTAGGGTGAGTTTCCTTGGGGAATAAAAATACTCCCCCCCCCCATGAAAGTAAGAAACTGAACTGCAAAAACATTCTGTTGTCAATACATGTAAATACTGCAGTTGTGTTCTTACAATTAATTTTACCTGGTGGACCTGTGTTTAATTCCACTCCATTGTGCATAATTTTTGAGGATCACTCAGATACTGTTCTCTAGCCTAAATCAATAAAATAGCCTTTGTGTGATGCAGAAGAGTAATAATACAAAAATACTTGGAATATAAATGTCCATTTAATATAGACTGACAGTGTAGAGTGCCACCAACTTTTACAAAACAATTCTGCTAATCATTATTTCAAACTTACACCTTCAATCATAAAATATGAAGGAAAAAGTAATATAAACACAGAGACCCTGGAAATATCTCCCTCCAGTCTTTGTCCTCCCTATTCTTTACAGAAATGTATACTGTATTACAAACAGTTGCAAAATGGCCAGAAAAAAATCCAACGAGCCTCTCATACCTGTTGAATAAGCTAATAGCACTAGAAAAGAATAGCAGTAGACCTTTGTGAAGAAAAGGGGCATACCTATCTGGTTTCCCATTATTTGCTGCAACAGGCTACAGTTTACCAGCTTTGAGGAAGAGAGGTGCCAAAGGTAAAAGGTCTCAGGATTTATTTTACCATCGGAATGTAGGCTGACATTTGCCCCAGTCTAAACCAGAAAACCCAGGCCTCACTTTAGGAATGCATCTCTATTCAGAAAAAGTGCTGAAGTACATTCTTAAAGTATGTGCTTAAGTGCTTTCCTGCATTAGGAACCCAGTCCTGATAAAACTATGAAGAATATTGGACAACATCAGCTGTTGTTACTGGATGTAGCTGTAACTTGTGATCCTATGTGATTGAGACTAAGGGCTGGTCAACACTGCGGGGGGGATCGATCTAAGATACGCAACTTCAGCTACGCGAATAGCGTAGCTGAAGTCGAAGTATCTTAGATCGAATTACCTGGGGTCCATACAGCACGGGATCGACGGCCGCGGCTCCCCCGTCGATTGCACTACCGCCGCTCGCTCTGGTGGAGTTCCGGAGTCGACAGTGAGTGCGTTTGGGGATCGATATATCGCGTCTTAACGAGACACGATATATCGATCCCGGATAAATTGATTGCTACCCACCAATACGGCGGGTAGTGAAGACGTAACCTCAGTATGGAATTAAAAGGCATCTTCAGCTGCTTCCAAACTCAGTAGTTTGCTGTGTGACCCTAGTAGCCAAGGTGCTGAAACACTGCCTGAGGGTACGTCTTCACTACCCGCCGTATCGACGGGTAGCAATCGATTTATCCAGGATCGATATATCGCATCTCATTAAGACACGATATATCGATCCCCGAACGCGCTCACCGTTGACTCCGGAACTCCACCAGAGCGAGCGGCGGTAGCGCAGTCGACAGGGGAGCCGCGGCCGTCGATCCCGCGCCGTGTGGACCCCAGGTAATTCGATCTAAGATACTTTGACTTCAGCTACGTTATTTGCATAGCTGAAGTTGTGTATCTTAGATCGATCCCCCCCCAGTGTAGCCAGCCCTGAGTGAAGGGAGATTCTACACCCACTGAACAGGAGTCTTTAACTTTGAGATTTTCTAATCCAAGTGAATCAACAAACTAAAACCCTTCCCAAGGCCAGCACATGAGATGATAAACTAGTGATCTATTTGAATTTATAATTTGTATAATCTTAATTCTTGTTTAAGATTATACAGAAAGTTCATTGTTTAGTGTTGGAGGACAGCAACTCTTTCTGTCATTCTTTGCATTATTACATGACAAGTATTTTTGCAACATGTATGGGCAGAGCTTGGATCCTGCAGCTTACTCCTCTTCCACTGATCCTCTCTTTTGCCTTGTACCCTCCTGACCTACTTTGGTGCTCAAACCCCAGCTAGTGAAACACTTTTTTCTTTTTATACTTCGCAGAGGAATTAATCTTCAGTAGGATATTCAACATATGAAGACAACAGAGTAATTAGGAAAATGACTGACAATTTTGAAGGAGTCAGGGGAGAATCTTTTTTTAATGTAATATTTATTAAAAATAATTAGGTTTCAGAGTGGTAGCCGTGTTAGTCTGTATCAGCAAAAACAATGGCGTCCTTGTGGCACCTTAGAGACTAACAAATGTGCAAATAAATTTGTTAGTCTCTGAGGTGCCACAAGGACTCATTTTTTTAAAATAGTTAGTATAAGTAAAAGTGATGTTTCTGGCGTCAGAAGGAGCCCCTCAGCACAAAGGAGATCCTAATTGTGCAGAGCTGGCATCCATGCTCTTATCCCACATATCTCTCTGCTTCCAGGAAGAGGAGCTTGAACGGAGGAACACCCCTACACCAAGCTAATTATCAGCTGCTCTGACCTGGAAGACAGACTCCGTCCAGCCGGCGCAGTATTTGCGTCTTTACCCGCCTCCTCAGCAATGGGGCCAGCCAGACCCCAGCCCGTTTAGAAGAGAGACGGACACGGAACATGCCCAGGGCTCCGTCAGGGTTGGGCTCCCGTCACCCAAGTACCCCGATGGCTTCAGCGCCGCGATCACCCTCCGCCAGCCGGGGAGAAGGGGAAGTCGAGGCCGCGTTGTGCGTTTTGCGTCAGTCGATCGGAGCAAACCCAGAATAGGGGAGCCGGGAGCTGGCAGGTTGCCGGCCAAGCAGCACCCACAGAAGGCAGTGCCCCTCCGCCGCTGCTGCCCCGGCCCAGCCCCGCCTCACTGCGCAGCCGCCGTCCTGCGTGTGCGCCCAGGCCGGCCAGCTTGCGCTCTAGGCAGGCAGGCAGGCTTCCCCGCTCCCGATTGGGTGCCTATTGCCGCGCGGGGGGAGGAGGCGGGGGCGGGGCTCCCGGAAGTGCCGCTGCCACATTGGCCCGGCGTGGGGGGGCGGGGCGCTTTAGTTACAGGGGTGGCGCTGGTTGCCGCGCGAGCTGCTGTTTTGGTTCCTGCTTCTGAGGGATTCTACAGGGCGCGAGCCGCGGTCCCTCCTCCTTCTGTTGTTGCTGCAGACCGGCGCCGCCCCCTGCCGCAGTCGGAGCCCGCCGGCGCTGCCCATGGCCGCTGAGATCCAGCCCAAGGCGCTGACCCGCAAGCCCGTCCTGCTCAGCAAGGTGGAGGGTTCCCAGGATGTAGTGAGCATGGCCGCGATCGTGCCCAAGGAGGACGGGGTCATCAGCGTCTCCGAGGACAGGTACTGCCAGGGGAAGGCAGGCACGCCGCCTCGTCCTCGCCCGTAGCCAGGGCGGCAGTGCCGGGGGTCCCCAGGGAGCGTGTGTCGGTCCGCGGGGGATGCTGCGTGTATGTGCGCATGCATGAGACAAACCCGCCGTGGGGCTGGGGTCCCGCAGTGGTCTCCCTGCAGGGGTGCAAGGGGCTGTGTGTGTGCGAAAGCTGGGATGGGGATTGCTCTGCATGCATCAGACCTGCCCGAGTGGTTAGAAGGGCGATCCGCTGTGTGCTGGGCTGGCCTGTGTCTTGCACAAGGACTCGAGGAGACACGAATGAGTTGCTCGGGCAGAGCATACGCCGAGTAGATTAAATATTGATCAGGCCCTATTATGTGTACACACTGCTCACTCTGCCACAGAGCTCACCGTGTCATGGTAACCCTACTGCATATGTCTGTGATGTGCATGATTCAGATTACACAAAGGTGATCAAGGATATATTGTGGCTGATGCCTGGTCAAAACCAATAACGTATCTTTAGTTAACTTTTATATCGGATACTTCAGAGATTCCGTTTTGTGGTCACACCTGCTAAAATGGTCTGTCCTGAACATTGAAGTGAGTCATTTTCCATAATATGCCTGTGTTACTGTAGTCAGAAGTGGTGCGCAAGTCAGGGCATGACTTTTCCTTTGTCATAAAATGTAGTGGAGGATTTCACAAATGATACTCCCTTGAAAATTCATATCAGGATATTTACAGAAGCCAAGCTGGTTTTTTTCAGTCCAGCATTGTACTTCAGCAGGCCTTTAAAACAACAGTTGCGTTGTTGTGTGTGTTGATTAGGAGCTCCTTCTTGGGAAGTTACCAATGTTTGTAGCAAAATGTCACTCAAATTACTGTAGTCTCATTCAATTTATCTTATATTGTTGTCATCTTAAAATGAGCCTTCATAAAGATATGTCAAACTCAAAGTTGATAACTGTGAGATACAACAGTTGCACTGAATAGCCTTTTTTAGTCTTATAGCTACAGTTAAGTAAAACTGCTAGATTGGGGAATCAACAAACTTTTAAGCCTTTCAATATGGGCAGTTTATATTACTCTTTAATATGTGTGTGTTTGATATGTAATTTGTCAGACCAGTTTCAACACATGCAGCTTTTGACAAATCTATGTGAGATTTGTTTTGACACTAGACAGAAGATACCAATGTTGTTTGCTGAAACAGCGCTTCTAGTTCTTATCTAACAAAAACATTTCCTGCTAGTTCTTTTAAAAATAACATATCTAAAGGATAAGAAACTAATCCGATATCTGGTATCGTAAAACTGCAAAAGTGTCAGGTATTTTTATAATTTTTAGTAGTCTTACTCCACAATATAAAAGTATGTCTTAAGCCATCCAATGATGCTTCTTTTCTTTTCTGAAAGAGTTCAAATTTACTTCATTTAGAGGCATTTCCTCTTACATCTAGAATGGTTTCATTTTGTTAACTCTTTAGGAGTGCTTTCCTTAAAATAAAAAATTGCCCCATGATCCTAATTGGAACCCATATAATAACCATACCAAAATGTAGTTTCATCATCACTCAAGCAAAAATCACTTGACTTATCTGCCCCAATAGAATGTTTAAAAAAAAAAAAAAAAAACAGGTTCAGGATTTTGCTCTTTTATCAATGTATTTCTATTGAAAAAACCTAAGTTCTGCCATAAGTTAGTTTCTGGTTAACTGTTTGATACGTGAACTATGCAAAATCTCATTAAAGTTCATCTATGCCCTGGGCTCCAATAAGCTCTAGTGTCTGGTAAGTGTTTTCTTTTCATAAGCTTCGAAGAGGCAGGTGTACTGTGGAATTGATAGTGATTGAAAATGTGAAATCCAATTATTTCAAGTGATATGGCCAAATTTTGCTATGTGAAACACTGAGTAAAGCATGAGTGTAGTAGGGGTAAGAACTAGATACATTCATGGAGGATAGGTCCATCAATGGCTATTAGCCCGGTTCGGCAGGAATGGTGTCCCTAGCCAATGCCTGCCAGAAGCTGGGAATGAGCGACAGGGGGATGGGATCATTTGATGATTACCTGTTCTGTTCATTCTCTCTGGGGCGCCTGGCACTGGCCACTGTTGGAAGACCGGATACTGGGCTAGATGGACCTTTGGTCTGACCCAGTAGGGCCATTCTTATGTTCTTATGAGTTGGCGCATAGTGATGTGCTGGATTGATGCCACTGATGTTCTGCGCTGTAAGAAAATACTTCTCAAACATTCTTTATCTTAATAGAGTGAATGTACCTAGTATCTTTCCCCTTAGAGAAAGAGAGAGTAAGGGGTCCAATTGTTTCTTGCACTACTCTTTACAAGGTACAAAACCCCCTAATTTTTAGGTGCCAGAATAGCAGCATGACACTGTAAGGTAATGTTTCTGTACTCCATGTAGAGATTCTCTGTTAAAAGGAGCCTTGGTCTAAAGGAGCATATAGTAAAGTGGAGATCTGGAGAGTATCACCAAGGAACATGGTATTTTAAAATCTTGTGGTATGATTAATCTGCATGTTGGTAAAACTGGTTAAAAGTGATTCTTTTGCTTCTTACTTGTAGATGTTTGGAGTGCTGTTGGCAGTACAGGGTGGATCTAGGAAAACTAGAAGTGCCTTTGTTAGGTAATCTGGAAACCTTCTGACTCTTCCACTTGATGCTATTACATTCTTTCATTAACTTCACTTAAATCCATTTCTACCTAAAGTAATAAATTATGTAAGTGGATGTTCATTTCTGGATTCATAGCTGAAGTAGTACTTTATTTCAGTAGTCACTACTTCTGTTGGAGTTAATGAATTCAAGATCTGTGTTAAGTTTTATTTGGAGGAAACAGCAACTTGGGAGTAAACTTGTAGCCTCCTTGTTACGGAGACAAGAGCATGGTAGGGGAATGCACCAAGTGACAATGTTTGCTTTCATCATTTCATTGCTATGCTGCCTCCTAGTTTGATTTCCCATTTAACATTGACTCTCATTCTGTATTGGCTTATGTACTCCAATTATGTAGTTGCTTTTAGAGATGGTTGGAAATTATAACGCCCTAGTAATGAATGTGGAGAGTTTATGCCCGTTGTCTTTCTTCCGGAAGGAGGTGGTAGTTCTGGCTGAGGTGAGACCTATTAAATGTAGAGGTCTGCAAATCTGCAGATATCTGGTTTATATCCACAGATACAGATATCTGTGGACCATGTTTGCGGATTGCAGATTGGATGTGGATAGAAATTTTATATCTGCGCAGGGCTCGAATTATGTGTATCAATTGTACGTGAGATACTCTGAAATTTATTAATCAGCTTCAGCTAGAATGACTTGTATCCAACGTTTGGGATTAGGAATTTTTTATGAATGCAAGGGAGTCATCAACTGGCTCTTTGTTAAACACTGATGGTGTTAGGAATAATCAAAGCTAGGCTTTAAGGTGGGTGTCTGTTTTGCATCATCTGGCTCTTCATTTCATAAACTGTCTAGGATAGGGGTCTTGATGTCTTTTTGTATTTTGTTCAATGCCCAGAGTTGTGCCTGGGTTCATTGCTTTGTAAACTTTTAAGGATCATTTTAAACAATAGCTAACAATACCCTCATGGCTGATGCAATATGAGAACCTGAACACAATGTACTTTATTTGTATAACAGCAACATTCTTAAAGTTGACTCTGTCAAAATAAAGGATGTATTTGTTTATTTTTAAAGTTCTTGAGATTTTTGGTTTTTGTTTGGGTTGATATTTATTACGGCGTGGGATATTGAGGAATGGTATATTGCAGGGGTCGGCAACCTCTGGCACGCCGCTCGCCAGGGTAAGCACCCTGGCAGGCCGGACCAGTTTGTTTACCTGCCATGTCAGCAGGTTCGGCCAATCGCGGCTCCCACTGGCCACGGTTCGCCACTCCAGGCCAATGGGGGTGGCGGGAAGCCACGGCCAGCACATCCCTCGGCCCGTGCTGCTTCCCACAGCCCCCATTGGCCTTGGACGGCGAACCGCAACCAGTGGGAGCCGCGATTGGCCGAACCTGCTGACGTGGCAGGTAAACAAACTGGCCCGGCCTGCCAGGGTGCTTATCCTGGCGAGCGGCGTGCCAGAGGTTGCCGACCCCTGGTATGATGTATGTGATGTGGATGCACATTGGAACAAATAATTGTCTAACTTTATTTTGATTCTTCGTTTTAGAAGAAGTGAGTATACCTGTTTATGCTGGTGAAAGTTAAAGCTTATCTAAGAATGTTTAAATCTGATAAGGTGAAGTTCTGAGAACAAGATTACAAGCTCTGCTAAAAAACTGCTGGAGCTGACAGCCACTTAGGTCCCAGCACGTAGAATCCTGTATCATACATAGCTTAGATTGAAAGTGTGCCAAAGATTTTTACACTTAAGGCTAAATGTTGGAATATTTAAGGTTCCAAAACTGAATGTCTTGTCATTGGTCTTAAATTTCCAGAGCCCCTTGAATTTAATGATACATATTGGCCAAATTCTCAAAGGTGCTACTTCCCATTGACTTTAGAGAAAATCAAGGTGGATAGAATTTAATTTTTTTAAACCAAAAAAATCTAATTTTTTTTTAAATCCTTTAAAAAATAAACCTATTTGAAATTGACAACCGATATTAAGGCCTAAACTTAATATCCATTAAAATAATTTAAAAAATATTAAGCAGTACGTGTGGGGTGCCAAGTTTTAAAGAAAGTCAAACCACTGATCCTGGTGTAAGTCACTGGCTAAGCACCTGGAGCTAGAGTTTGTTGAAGTGCTATCAAAAGCTGGTTTTTAGCAGTAGCCTTTTCTGCAGGTGTGAGAGGATATTTTCTTTAGTTTATTCAGCTAGTTCATCATTTATTCAAAGTTAAGAAACCAATGTGAGTTGAAAAAGCAGAAAAGTTTGTTCTCTTCCAATTCATGAATAAAAAACAGCTGAGAGGATGAGATCAGTTCTAAAATTCTTGAAGGGCATAATTGTTTCTAATCATCAGTTGAATTTA